TTTTGCAATTGAAATTTTTATTCACACTGTTCGTCTTGTTTGCGGAAAAAATAAATGATAAGCTAATCTTGGCTTCTTTGGTGAAGCTTTATAATACATACTGTTCACGGAATGAGGTTGGAAGGTAGGAAGCGGGTTTTACGGTAATTAGTAGCAGAAATAATTAAACTTTATGAATATGTATAAATTGAAGAAGCAAGGAGATAACAGGGTGGGGGTGGAACGGGTGGTTCCACCGCATAGGAGGTCATTCTACGTGCAAAAATAAGTAGGAAATGTAGAATCAATTTTTTTCTTATGGTGCTTACTTGCAAGTACAAAATTTCTGCTAAATATTGATCATTTGCAAAGTGTAAATTCCACTGATTTCCAGTTTCTCAGAATCTCGAAAAATTGAAATTCACGTGGGCCAACTATTTACCATAATAGCCTGCGATGAATCAAATACTCGGTATTATTTCCGCAATGGGGTCGCAACATCGGCCAAAAGAGCCAAAAATCGGGAGTAATGGCCGGATCGTTTCATAATTCATGTTATCGATCTTCCAGGGTTTGATTTTCCTTTAACGAGAGGACCTAACTTCCATGAATTCGTCCTGGATTGGCCAAGTTGGCATCCGTCATCGAGTAATTCGAATCGTTCTAATCGCTCGAGAATGATCTGGCCCATCTGAGACGGGAATCGAATCTGTGTTCTTTACGAACGCACCTTCTGTTCCGTGTGTATATACATGTTCGTTCAGTGCGACGAACACTCTCTCGAATGGGAACAGGATCAACGGTAGGTCCGTCCGGGTGACGTCAGACCTAGACGTTATATCTCGAATCGTTTCATTGCCGTCGAGGACCAACTCATTCGGTCCTTACGGTGGCAGACGTGAAATCGAGAGAGCAATTCGTCTTTATTCGACCGTTCCCCGAAGGTGGTTGCACCTTGATCGGTGAACGACTTCGGTTCATTGCCGAACGAGGGCTAGAATGCGTACGACGACTTTATGGTTTCTTGGAATTCACAGGTTTTCGCGTGAAATGTGATGGATTCGTTTAACTACGTGTAGATTTTTTTGGGGGATTTCGGGGCCACTTGCGCAAAAATTTGCCAATTAATAATATTAGTGTATTTACAAGTTATGAGATGTTGACTTCTGTGATCAAACATGTTTTACAACTTTATAAGTCACAAGTTAAATCATTAATATTATTAATACACTTTACAAATATTCGTTGCAGAATGAATGTGATTTTACTTGTAAAAGTCTTGGAACAGTGACAATTTTGTTTACAGATGATGACTATTGATCAGGTGATTTTCAATATTTATAAGAAATGATGAGACCTGCTTCTTGTCGTGGCGTACTGAAACACGCTGTTCTTCGATAGACATACGAAATGTGCTACTTTTTCGTAACGCACGAATGAAAATGTGCTACCTGCGTTTACGAATGATACGAGCAAGCGAGTGTTCACAGACTCGTTTTTATGGTAAATTGAATAGTCTGGTCGGTTTTCCAGTTCGGTTTAGCCGCTCGTGTTTCGATAAGAGAACGCGTGCTTCCGTTTCGTGAGATAACTGGGCCACATGTGAGAAACACCGGGAGACCACGCGCCATCTCCTTAGAATTGCGAATATTTCCCAAGGATTATTAGACCAGGCAGCCGGATCGCGAGCCTGTATAGGATTTTCCTGGTGGTTACCGTGCAGACGTCGGACTATGCCCCGTAAACTGGGTTGGAAAATTTTCGTCTGTTGGATGAACTTCGGATTTACAACACGATCCTACGTAACAAACTTTTGCAAATTCGATGATCGTCTTTAATTGTCTCGAATCGTGTAGAAACTTTGGCACGTAAAAAGTGTAGATAATTTCTAACATCTTGCTACCTAAGACCTTCCTTTGTCATTAAATCTTTTAACGCCAGGACTCGAAATGGTTGACGTTAAGAGCTATAATTCTTTATTATTTGATGAAGATTATTGAATTTTAAAGTAACATACACGAATATTTTCGGGATTTGCTGATGACTAGACTGTGAACTTTATATGTTTATAAAACGTAGAAATTATTAAGGAAGACTAGAAACTAGAATAAAGTTTCATATTGCTTCTTTTGTTTTGTATTTCATGTAATGGAATTGTTGATGGAATATTAAACCTTAATTATAGACCACTTGTCTCAGAGACGAATTTTTTTTACAGACCACTTGTCTCAGAGACAAATTTTTTTGCAGACCACTCGTTTCACAGACGAATGTTTATTTATAGCGGAGTCCTGGACATTTCAAGGTCTATTGATGTAACATGTCAGGTCAAAAATAAGAACTTTGTTACATCACAGACGAACTTGAATTTTTCTTTTACTACCATCACCTAGTGGAGATTTTTAGAATCTCTAGACAATTGAGTATCTTTCATTGACAGTAAATGGCAACTATTTCCGAAACAATAACGAAAAAAAGTATTCAATCGGTTATTTAAAATGTTACTAAGAACACACTGTACAACTTTACAATTTTCTTTTTTTTTTGTGAAACGTACTGTAAGTATTACTATATTAATTCCAGTTTCTAAGAACTTGAATTTACATACGCATATGCGGTCAGTTAATTGGAATACAGATCACCTTTCACTTAAACGGGGAATGAAAGTTAATTTTCATATTATGTACAATATAGAAAATTCTACGAAAACTCTGAGTTCTCAGACTTTAGAAGTTCTTGTTATTAAATTGTTTCGGATGTATTCAGTTCTCTTTTATGCACTAAGTAGCGTATGATATGCGAGTGTCAATGAAACGGTCGTGTTCAGAAATTAAACGCCCATAAACCGAGGACCTCCGGGCGTAGTTCTAAAAGTGGAACGTGCCGATACAATACAGCCGCGGGACGATATCTGTGTTGGTGTTGCGTGTAGGATAATGTACATGCAACGATCTACCGTTTCGAATGTCCATTTGCGTGCACGAGAGTTTGATCAGCCATCGGTTCGCGTAACGAACGGGATCGATAAAACAACGCGAGAGCAGCGATACACCTCTTCTCTAACTTTAATTTTCAACCAGCGTGTACGAGGCGTGACAGAATTAACGAAGACGATTATTAATAGAAACGATTTGTTACAGATCAGATTAAAGTTGAAATCAAAGTAATTCCTGAACAGATGGATTTTCAAACCAGATGTCCAATCTCTAAGTTGGAAATTCATTTATAAAAGAGCTTTCATCGTACTGTAGATATGAACTTACACTTGATGTTATCGGATTTTTCTCGTACATTCGAAATCGTGGGACGACTAAAGAGAGGTTCCTTTTGGAAAAGAAAATGATTTTATATGAGGCTGTGTTACGAGATTCTCAGATTACGAGAAAATCGATTTCGAACATTTATCTGTGAACGCGTACTCGTCTGGTTGGAATAAGTAGAAACGGTCGGTAATGAACAGACACGTTGGTACGGTCTTATTCTCAGAGCTATATTTCTGAAACCAGAGTCTTCTGCAGTATGCAAAATATTTCACGCCATGGAATCTTAAAGTTGCTCCATGAAATTTGTCAGGATTTTTTTTTTTATAAAAGGTTTACATGTATCATAAACGGTTAAAGGGTTAGAGAAGCATTAAACCGAGGTTCACCGATTTCAATTTTCCTATTAATAAATTTATATGTGAAGATAAACGAGTTATTAATTTTGGTCGATATTTTCCTATTTCGTTACACTGTGCGACCGTGGGAACCGTCGGTAAAATTAAAGTCCGCGTATCTGCTCGCGTGAAACGAGGGTAAAATCGCGATGCATCTTTCACCTCGTTGGCCAGTGCTACGACCGCTTTGTCCGCGCGACAGTTTCTCGGTTTTTCTCGCGTGGAACGCGAGCTGATGCGATCGTGTGACGCGTACTGGCGGACAGCCAACTGTACGCGAGTGTCGTCGAATATTCTTGCATCTGCCGCCAATAAACGGGTTATGAATCGCGCTAATTATACGCGACACGTTCTCACCGCCCGTTTAATTCTCCAACGGGGATGAACGGGGCGAGGCGACGCGTCGTTGAACCGCTACTTCGCGAGCGGTGTACTCCTGAGGGATTAAGGATCTCTCTGGAGCAGAGTTAGGCAGAATTTTATGCGAAAAAACCGACATATATCTGACAGCGTCACACAGTGATCTAGAATTACAATTTAGCACGTCGATTGATCGAAAGAAAAATTCATTTATTTGTCAAAACACTAACATTAAATTAATATTAACCATGGAATGATTGAATTTCGATCACAGTAAAAAAATAGAACAAGGTTCCCTAAAAGTTCATGCTTTCAAGAAGATGTTAAGAATATTGTTAGTGAACGATGACCTTATCGAAGAGTCGAAAAAAGTAATTTCTTTGCCAAAACACTCACATTAACTTGATATTAACCATGGAACGATTGAATGGTATCATCGATCCCAGGAAAAAAAGTAGAAAAAGATACCCTAGGAATTCATAGATTCACGAAAATGTTAAGAACACTGTTAGCGAATGATGACGTCATCGAAGAGGAACCTTAAAATCGATAAAAATTTGTTCAACACCTACTTTCGCTTAAACAACAAAATCAGTTCTGTAAAGTATGTAACAAAAATTGTTGTTCACTTCAGTTAGAACTAACAAAACCATTAAAAATGAGAACAAAATCCTTCTAAATTTCAATTTCTGTAAAATGGTCCATAAACATCTATATTCGCATAAACATCCGTAGTCTACTAATCACTCAAGAGGTATTATTTTATCATAAAAATAGGAATCTCCACCTTCATACGATTAAAAATAACGAAGTACTTTTCTCAATCTCGTACTCGTTACGCGAAACTAATCGAGTTACTCTAAACGAAGGGAGATGACAATTAACATGGAGCAGGGACATAGACAGTTACCATCCAATAGCCGGCCTTAGCACATGAATATTTCGTTTATTCCTACTGTCTCATCCTGTTGAACAAACAACAGATACCACTACGTCGACTAACCTGAATCCAGGTACTCGTGATGTCCGAACATCCCAGTCACCTGCTGCAGAAACACCCCGTTCGCCCCGTGTATCCCGTGCGACAGCACCTGTACCAGCACCCCAACGACCACCACGACCCATCCCCAACCCCCTTCCGGATAATAGTGTTGTTTCAGCGTGTGCAGCTGCTTGAAATCGGCGACCAATTGCTTGACATTCTGCGGCTGGCCAGCGGTGGGCGATTGCTCGTTTCCGCTGCACGCGACACCGCTGTCGTGCACCGACAACCGCGGCAACGATCTGCTACGATAGAGCAACGCGGGTGTCTCGTGTCTCATCCCACCGCGTCCATCTTTATCCTCGTACCCCTCGCCGTCCAGATAACCGCCGGCGTACCTTTGCAGATAAAGCTGCCTGTCCTGCGGTAAGTGCGGCTCACCGCAATTTTCGCACTTCGGCCGGCTGATCTGTCGCTTCGCTCGCTGAATGGCTGCTGCGTCGTTCGTGGATCTCGATTCGGCTACGCGACCAGCCTCCTGATTCGTCGGCCGACGTGTCCGTTTCTCGACTTCGTCGTCCTCGTGTCCCTTTACGGCCAACCTGGCCGTGCAGTCTTTAAGAGAATCAACGAGTTTACGAGGTACTTTCGTTTGAGTGGGCCCGAAGAAGTTCTTCTCCGTGCCGTCCACCGTATCGATGATCAGATTCACGTGGTTCAAGGGTACACGACCGGAGCAACGCGAATCCCCGTGATCCACCCCGAGGATCGTGTCCCTCGATCCACGATGTGGCGTGCTGGAGCCGACTAATTCGTAGATAACCCCGGCTGGGATCGATGTTTCGTGTCCCTGGTTCTCGGCGGATACTGTGTCCCCTGGTCTGCTAATCTGTACCCCGTCATCGATCCTAAAGCCGACGCTGAGACGCTTTCGGTCAGGCGACTTGTACGCGTCATCATCCGAGATGTTGCGATCCTTGCTCTCTGTGCTGGAACTTTCCGACTGGTCAGCAGGTTCGATGGTCCTTTTGTCCTTCGTTTTGTTATCATCGTCGATCGTGATTTTTCTGTTCGGATGATGATAGAGCAACGTATTGACTCCGCTCGGAACACTTGGATCGTTGTTCGATACCTCGTGATCCTTGACGACGATGTATCTGTCCGTTCCGTCATTTTTATCAAGGGTTCGATACTCTGGTACACTGTTCGATGATCCCTTGGCTGTCGTTTGGTCATCGTAGATTTCCGAATCAACGCTAGTCGCAGCCATATTCCGGGTCTCTCATAGACGTTCCTCAACTTCGCGTCCTCTTCTTCGTCGTCTACGCCGTCCGCGTCGTCGTTTCTCTGCTTCCTCTGTCTCCTCCGGCTCTTCCATTTCCTTTCCACCAAGAGATCCCTGCTTCGTTTGCTCGCCGTTGTCGTCGGCGGCAGCTGTGAGATTTATGGATTAAATCATGTCGTTCGATTTACGTGTTTAATTGGCGTGTCATTAAGCCCGGGATCTTCCAGCCCTTGATGAAACGACGATGACTGGAGCTTAAGGATTTATTCATTTTATCCCTCCCCACTTCAATGATAAATCAACAATTACTTTTTCAACTTACACTACTTTCCTTTCATTTTTCTGTTATATATTCATTGTTCTCTAATTAATTTCATTTAATTCGAACACGATCGTAATACGATTATGTTGTGAAGTAGTAATACGGGATGATGATACAGTCTGAAAATTTTTATTCGTTAGAGAGCCTCGTTTCTCACATGTGCGACACTGTTCGCGACAGAAGACGGAAGCAGATCGTGAAAACGGTCGAGAAAAGGTCGCACGAACCCTGCTGGTTTGCGATTTCGGTGGCCACTGTCGTACAGGCCACTGTGCGATTCAGGTACAGGTAGACGATATCTCGGTCTCGATCTAAAAGACCGTCGAGGACACACGAGTCGCGCAAGGGGAAGCGAACCGTTCGCGGCACGCTCAGCACGCAAACTGGCCGAGAACCGCGGAGACGGCCAAGAATCGTGCGGCTGTCTACGACAGCTGCGCTTCTGGAGTCGGCCGGATCAACCGAAGCCGGAGGAATCCCTCTCTCTTTTTTCTAAGCCCCCCCCCCCACCCCTTCCTGATCATTCTTTCAGACACTTCACGTGGTTTACAGCATGTTCCCGCTATCGTCTTATCGTTTTTCAAATTAATCGAAACTCATTTGAAAGATTATGAAATTTAATATCGGAGCAAAAGTGGAGAATTCTCTGTGAAGTATTCACTTCGGACCATCGTATTTATTTACCCAGATGCGATGAATAGAGAGTTCAGGGTGTTTTAATAATTTCTTGGCTACTTCTGGGAGAACAAAGAATAATCTTGGGATGACAGTGCGATTAGAATTATTTATGCCATCTGCATAATGTGACGATTTTACAATTTTCACCGTATATTTTTTGTAATTACATAAGCTTGTTTTTACTGAATAATTGCTTAACAATTTTCCAGTGTAAGAACCTTGATATTGTGAGTTTATTTTTATAAGAGCACAAAAAAATCTAATTTATCGCACTCTGGATCTAATAATTAGATTACCCACTGTAAATCAGTCTGAGAAGATTTCACTACCGCCTGTAGCCTCTCGTCACTGAACATTTTCTTGCCGTAGTAGGGTATTTATTGTTATAATATTGTATATAAGGAAACAGAAAATTGATTATCTTGGATATTATAATTTACTCGATCTGTAGGGAATTGTAATTCTACAGAGTTCTAAGTGTTATTACCTAGAATTGATTCAACTCCTAGTATCAATCTCTTCGTGGAGCATCAAACAGATAATACGTGTATGATTTGGTATCGCTCCAAGAAGTAACGGTATTAAAAATTGATACAAAGTTACGATACCTTTCGATACTTCCCACCGAGTACTCCGGTATCGAATTCCTCGAATATCATCAACGTCTATCGGTATCAGACCGACCACTAGACGCAGTTCGTCTAAAAATAAAAATTTTCAAACTATCTTCTCCTTCAATACTAAAGCAAACATTTCCGTTATCATCACCTCGCTGTCCGGCTGATATTCCCCGAGCGCCGTCGCCCGTAATTCCTTCCAATTCGTCCGGCACCGCAATAAGTCCAAACCCTAAAACGAGACGTCACCCCAGACGAAAGCTGTTCGTTGAACTATCCCGGAAACTATCTCTAGTTTAATCTGCTCTCTCGGCCGTGCGTATCGTCTCATGCGGTCTTCTGCATCGCGCGCGCCCCCGTCTTTACGGTATTATATAATTATAAGCGCAACTGGGGAACGGGTAATTTTATCAGGCCCGAAAGTGGACGGTTGAATGGCCGGTGATGATCTTAACTTTTTCATTTCTGCCGGGAAGCCCTTTTCGTCTCGCAGCGGCTTTCACGGCACACCCCTTGGCCACCCTCCTCCCCTTTCTCTCTAAATCCCGGCCCATTGTAGCCCCTCTTCCGCCGACGTTATTTTCTCGTTTCCGCCGGAATATATGGATTCGTTGAACGCGCGTTTACCCTCCTACCGTCGTACAGCGTGTATCATCGCGCGGGGCATTACGTGTACGCCTCTATAACGCGGCAGAAGGCGCTATAAACATACGGGTGTAAATTCCGTATTCACTTCGCAATTTCGATGTTAACACGTAGGAGGCAGTGATTGGCCCGCGACTGTGTGCGCATTCAAGCGTTATGATTGGGATCCGATTACCCTTCAATGTTCCGTATCAATCGGTGTAAAGCTTGGGAATTTATGTACGTGTAGTAATACGATGTGCATGAGGATCGATGAAATTTATGTCTCAGGGGTCTCAGACCAGTATAACGCTTTGGAATAAAGTTATTTGTACAAAACAGGATAAACCGAACCTTTTGAAACTTTGTGTATTTGTTAAGGCACTATTGAACTATTAATTGGCATTTGTTTTTATTAATTTAATTGTACGTTCTATTAATTTTAACGTAATTAATAGGTATTCCATGTGGAATATCCTCAAATTCAAGTCTGCGAAGAAAGAGAACGCGAAAATTTGCGTTTACAATGACGGCAGTTCTGGTTTCATCGAAAGTAAAGAAAAAATTATTATTTGGTATATATTTTGTTAATTTATTAAGTTTATCCTTCAATAACATGTGTACTATAAGGAGCCAAAGTATTAAGTAAATCAGTTAATTATTTCGTGAGTTATCTTGTAGGCCAGTGTGAAAAACATGATTTCAAGAAAAACGCGTTTAAAGTTTCAGAAGTATTGTATTATTTTTACAATGTACCATAATTTAGTTTTAAAATTGTTATCTTTTGAAATAAATCTTCATAATGTAAATGTCTATGTTCTTTGTAAATCTACACTGTGTCAGATTGTGAATTTTCTCTTAACTTTCCACGTAGGGTATATCGAAACATATTTACGATTACATATCAATGTAATAGTAGGGTCAAAAAGGACCAGATCATTCGATAAATGTTTACGGATAGTCCGACGAATACCCTCGTGGTACGTTGAGAAAGGAACCGGCTGGCAAATATTACCCGTCAAGATGGCGTGCGACGGTTCGAAACACTGATAATCCTAGGAATCGATCGCTCCAGATCCCCTGCAAAAGTTTACGACTACACTACCAATTGAATAATAGTTGGTGACGTTCCTCTATTCCATTTCTCTAAATACAGGAATCGTTATACTTTATTGGTACATTAAACACAACGTTATTTCATATTCATTATAGTCGACAATTTTTATTCTATTATCATTTAATCACCGTGAATTAATATTAGGATGATTCATAAATATTGATATATAAATATCACGTAACCGACACTGCGAAGTGAGTCAATAATTATGAATCATACTAGTATTTTAAGACTGATAAAAAGAATAAAAATAAAACTGTATTGAATATAATTAAATTGGCTTGCTGCATGTAAGCTAATATTTGCGCTTTATTTATATTTGCACTCCTTCTAGAAGTTAACCAGTAAAAGTTTTTGTCTGTTATATTTTTCTATCATGTGGTATCTTTTTTGCAAACATGACCGATGCCTTTCCTGACGGGTATCAATAAATGTTTCTTCAAAAGGAAGAGAACACAAAGAATCGTGGAGGTCAAAGACAAATAAAGCGCGCTGAAATATCGAGATTGTCCAAAACGGTCCCAATTAATTTCCTCTAATACATTTGATCAATAGATACGATAAAAAAGTTTGTCCTGAATAATTTTTTCCTCAAATATCGACCGTCTCCTTTCCCAAGATGTTGTACCGGATTTAAACGTAGAGTGCGCTATGATATTCGGTCTGTCGAGTCGGTAATACAGTTTCGAAATCGTAAAAATTCCCTAGATCTCACACGATAACACGATGTCATCATCGTTTGATATAATATCAAATGCTAGTCACGAACACAGCCAGTTATGAAAATCACCTCGGGCTACGAAGCATTTTATGAATAGTTACTGCTTATTCTTAGAAACACTAGAAAGATTGCATTCTTAATATTCCGGTCACAAAGCACCACCACAGAATTTACATTAAAGATACTCGTGTGTTGTGCAGATGATTCTGTTAAAACACAACGTTTCCGTCGTTTGTCGGTAAGTGGAGCAACGAAAAACTAGATCAGAGCTTAAAGAGAAAGTAACGAGTTTCACGAGTCTAACTAACCTAAAGCCTTCCCGCGATCGATGCAATATTAGTTACAGAACAAAGGCTGATCCTCGCCGACAGGTGTACTGATTGATACCAAAATGGGGGCGCTAATAAGACCGATCGTGTTCGAGAGAATTGTGATAAATGCCTTTCATATAACTGTCGCCGCAAGTTCGACACATAAAAACTCTCCTATCACATGTTGTCTTTGAAAGTACCTGGAAAGAAGAGCGCAAAGAAACGGACGGAAGACAAATCGGTAAAGAAATATTGTCAGTGATCGTTAAGGGGTAAAACGGCTGAAACTTTTATTGGTTTAACGGCGTAGATCAGACGCCGGAATCGATAACTGTCAACGTGTTTTCATGCCCAAAATTGTTGTATTTATCTTGAACATCACGATTTCTTTAAGGTCTAAAATGATACATAAATCGAAAGATATTCGATGATCAGAAAAATAAATGCCAAAATATAGTTGGTTAGTTCAAGTTTTAAAGTAACATCCTCCGGATGTATAAATTAAAATTGAACTGGAATGAAATTCTAATTTGAGTTTCAACTTTTACGGCTGATTTCGACTTTTACGAATCGTAAGTTTCATTAATAATTTTAA